AGTGAAACACCATCGACCTTGCGTCACCGTGTATCATGACTTGGGCTCCGCCCGGCGAATCCAGGGCGAGGGAAGAAACAGTCAGAGTGTCAGATACTTTTTCCACCCCTCATCCAGTCTAGTCCCTCGGCCGTTTTCTTTTGTGTCTATCACGATGATCACCAGCAGCAGCTTGTCCCGTCCCAAGTTGAATCGAATCCCCTTTGGTTTTGGAGAGGAACAAAACGGGGCTCAAACGGGAACCCACGGGTATCCTAACCTCGAACAATAAGTTAAGACATCACAGTATCTCCAAGGGGAAAAAAAACATTGGATTCGTCCCATCCAAGTCACACATGCTTAGTCACAATGACCAGCCTCGAAGCTGGTTTCTACACAGTAAGCTTAAGTCACAACCCAGAAGAAAAAAAAAAAAAGCTCCCATACTGTATGTACTCAACCCTCATCGCGTCCGATTCGTGGCACCCTCCCCGAGGAGACTCAAAACCCCAGACTTTTCCCGGACCTCTTATCCATGGCACCAAGATGGATGACCCCTCGACTCTATCCATACTTCGAAGATTATCAGATGACTACTCCGTACTTGCCTCCCAATCCCGTATTGCAAATAGATAATCATCCAAGTTGTACAGTACTTCCAATGATGGCAAATCACCCAGTAACTACCCGACCTCGATCGATCTCGACGCCCGAATCAGCAACGACGTCATTCCTCAACCACATCGCTCGGCCTCAGTGGGGGGCTCCGTATTTCAATTCGCCTTCATTACGCGGTTTCGTAGCCATATGTACGAGTAAGTTACTCGTATCTATCAATCCGAAATCGTTCACTTTTCCAGGAAAGGCTGGGAGAAAAGAGATGCCCTGCAAGTCTAGATGTGATAGTTCGTTACAGAGGGAGTAAGCAACGATGGAAGCCTGGAGAGCATCCCTCTAGTATGTACCTAGTATATATCTGCTCCGTGGAATCCGAGTGTATTTGTCCATGCCATCTCCATTACTCTTTGAACTATGGTATTAATTGATCTAAGCTACCATGCGATTTCTGTTACTGGACAGGGAGATAGCTCACAATCTTAGCTTATCAACAGCTTTCCTGGAGATATAAATTGTAGCCGAGGTAATCAAGATAGAGAATGTGTGGAAATGAAAGTGTGCCAATTTCTTTCACTGATGGTGCAAATTGATCCCCATTCAGCATTGAATGATAGTTGAAGGCACACAAGGAGCCCTGATGTAGAATACTATCATTGACGAAGTTCTTTCAGTGAGACACTTCAAGTGAGTGATGAGAGTCAGGAACTATAGCGGTAGCGGCGGAGGCGGTAGGCCAGCAGAGCGGCAGAAAACAAACTTGAGGTGAGATGACCCGGGGTTGAGAGTTGACGTACTCTACCAATCAGCGTAGCTGATTGCTGTGTATACAGTACTACCAGAGGAACGTCCATCCAATTTACATTGTGGTCGGATACTTCTTGTTTCAAGGTTCTCTCTAACATGTACCCTCCAGAATTGATGCTCGAAATAATCACATATACTGCATCTCCATGCATAAGCAGCATGAACCCCAGTCATCTTGCTTGCTTGCTTGCTTTTGTAAGTACAATGAGATGCCCCGCGATGGGGATGGAAACTGAGAAACGACCAGATATATGGCGCGTTCATCCGATGAAAAACATCAGACGAAAAGAGAAAAAAAAAAACTTAATACCGCGGAGGAGGAACTCGATGAACTACATCCCCTCGCGGTGCTCCTTCTAATGCGATCCGCTCCGGATTCGCCGCAACACTTCCCTCATAATAGCGGACAAGTTCCTCGCGCGCCAGAGGCCGCGTCGCAACATACATAGGCCGCTCCACGTACTCGCGCGGCTGCCGGGTCCCGTCGTCCAGATACACACTCACTTCGCGCGCTCCGCCGGGACGAGCACTTTCCACTCGTTGGATGACCTCGCGTGGCTCCTCGTACCGTCCAGTTGGGGGACGCACGCTCGGCATCCGTACGATTCGCTCGCGGGGCAGTTCAGCCTCTTCAAGGTAATGTGGAGGTCGGCGGGTGGCGTATTCGGTCACTTGGACGCTGGCGCTACGTGGTGGATAGACATTTCGGTCATCCGGGCCGGCGGCAACGGTCGCGGGAGTGGCGCCCGCGTAAGGTCGGCGTTCAGTTGGACCCGGGCGAGCATACTCGGTGACGCGTCGATAAGCCGGCGGAGGGGGCATGTCCTGTACGTACCTCCGACCGCCAAAAGGGTCTTCAACGACGGACGCTGCCCGCAGGCTCGCATGGCGTAGAGTGACCGCACGGTCATCGTAAACCTCACCGCGCGGGGCTCGGCTGACGGGAAGGTAATACTGATTGCCGTGTTCATCGACCATGATCCGTCGCGGAGGTGGCGCCATCATCTGACTCGTGGCCTCTTCCTCGTAGTAAGCTTCACGGAGTCGAGGCGACATCGGCGACTCTCCAGCAGGAATGTAGCGGCGTGCAGGCGGCGGGGGCAGCTCGTCATAATACCGAACTCGTTCCGGTGCCGGACGTTCCACAATAGCGTAGGAGCCTGCGCGCAGAGAATGGGGGCTAGCTTGGTCAATATACTCGCGGGCATATTCAGGTTGCCGAGCTTGATGCTGGAGACTGGCAACTCGTCGAAGATCTTGATCGTCGCGCATCGGGCGTCTGACACTGAGTCTGGAGACGGTCCTTTGAGCGCCAGGATCTGCGTGAGCATCATAGATTTCATACTCGTACCCTGGCTCTCTCATAGGCGGCTCCCTTCTCTCTATCACGGGAGTATACTGTGGCGAGGCAATGTCTATGTACACCGGTCGCTCTTGGAGTTGACGGCTTCTGTACGTCTGTGGGGTATCTGCAAAAGGTGGAGGCGAGACGGGCTCTTCCTTGATGTATGCCTCATCGGCAACCGCGGGGGCTTGCGCCTTGTACGACGGACGAGACCGGTCTCGATCCTCATGCAGTCTCCTACGCTTTCTAGACGTCAAAGGATAGGCAGGTACGTCAGGACTGGCGTGACGCTCCGGAGCATAATCCGAACGCGACTGTGGAACCGAGGACACCTTGGTGATTGCCAACGGAGAGACCCTAGATGGTTGTGGAGCGGCAGGCGAAGTGATGTGATTCCGCACGACTCGGACCTCATCGCCAGGCGAGACTGATCGTCGAGCGTAGCGGGCTCGTTCAACCGGTCGACCTTCCGGCGCACGTCGTTTGGTTCCACCCGCGTATTCCCTTTGAGCCTCGTGAATGTCTTCCCTCTCCATGGGCGCGACTCCGGGCGCAGGCGGTGAGTACTCCGGTTCTTCGAACGCGTCAGATGGTTGATTGTGGTTCGGGTACTTGCGGGATCCGTAGTCGACCTCGCCATGGTGCGGCTGCCTTTGATCATAGGGTAATCGATGGCCTGCCACGGGGTAAGTATCTTGCATATCCTGATCCGATCCAGTTCTGTTGAGGGCCTCAAGCCGTTGCAACTCATCTGAATAGTTCTCTACTGGGACTTCAGTAGCCAGCTCCTCAGAGTTGGATTGAGGTGCTGGAGATGGTTTCTGCGGTTCACCCTGCTGAGGCGAGTCAGGAGCTCTACTAGAATAGAACGAGTTGTCGTCGAAGGAATCGCTGGGCTCTCCATTGCCACGGCCATCGACCGAGGGAGAGGGGTTGACCATCTCGAAAGCCTTGACGAGCACATCAGAAACGTCGAAGTCCGGCTTCGCGTCCTGTAGAGCAGCCTTCTGCCTTGACTCCTGCCTTTTTTGTTCCAGCTGCTCCCGCAACGCTCGTTCCACCCTTTGACGCTGTAGCTGTAGCTCAGCTCGCACGAGATCGTCCGACTTGGTCAAGAAGATCGGATCAATTTCCGAGGTAGGATTGGGGATGATACGCGACGCCCCCATCACACCCGCCGAAGCACCCCCAGCGCCACCACTCGGGGAGTTGGCCGGTTTAGCATTGGAAGGGGCGGTCGGGACCTGATTCTTGGGGGAAGCCTTCTGCGATTCTCCTGGCTTTACCTGAGATGGAGTAGAAGAGGCAGGGGGATTGCGCGAAGCCGTCTTGCGCACAAACTGCTGCGGAACCTTCAATCTAGGGTGAGTTCCAGAAAAGATTTCGTCACTTATTTTCAGGATTTTCTCATACTCCTGCACCTCCTGATTCGTTGTAGATAGCCTAGTAGGTCGACTACTGCCTGATGTTGAAAGCTGAGCTGCTGCCATAATTTTAGGAAAATGACTCTCCCAGGCAAGAATTATGCTGGCCGTGAGAGTTGATAGATCAAATCACCTGAGGTTTATTGCGAGCGAGTTCTGCTGCATCACCCGTCCAGGTTGCAATCTTTAGATGCGGTATAAGCTTGACTGCCTTGCCAATAAACTTGGACTAACTCGAGTCTTCTTTTTTCTCCGCTCTCTTCCTGTTCTTCTCTTTCCTTTCCTTTTTTTTTCTGTGCTTTTAAAATGTATAAGGGGAGAGGGAGGGGAGAAAGAGGGGGGTTGGGAGGAAGACAAGTGTCGACCAAAAGGCGAAGGGAGTTGCGGAGAGGGAAAAGAAGGACGCAGCCAGCCGTGCGGTGGTGAACGACCGAACCTCGAGTTACGACTTACGACTGACGAGTAACTTGCCGCCGAACGCGCTAAACTCGCCGGGGAAAAGCCGCCCCCGTTGTTTGATTCTCCCCGACTCCCGAGACAACGAGTCATCATCCATCTTACTCGCTCAGTGCAGTGCAGTATTACTCATATCTAGTAACTATTGCTGGACTGACCTTATCCAATCCAATCCAGTCCACGGCGCATAAGCTTCGGCTATGAATCATCCCATTCTACGCGCCTGTTCTCGATCATCACCATCATCTTTCACTTTCACATCTGGCGCATATCGCGCTATCCAGGCCCCTTTCTCAACCCCGCGATTCCTGACTCCCCTCCGCGCTGTTCCAATCCCTCGGTATCACTGCCAACTGCCCCAATTCCGACGAACCATGACCACCACCAACAGCCACCAGTCGGCCAGCGCGCCACGGGATCCCAGACCAATCTTCTTCTTCGACATTGACAATTGCGTACGATCCCCTTCCTAAGAACCCCATAAATTCACGTTGACTGACCGCTGTCCCCACTCACTGACTGCAGCTTTACTCCCGAGGTATACAACACGAATTCTCAACTCCACCATTCCCACGCAAGTAAATCGATCCAACTAACCGGGCCTCGCGATCTGCGCGCGCACAGAATGCAACATTCACGATGAGATGCAGAAGCTGATCAGTGAGTCATACCAACAACCACAACCACAACCACAACCCGAACCCACGCGCAACCACTGTCCTGTACATTTCACTAACCGAAACCCAAACTCTGTCTCATAACAGACGCCTTCTTCATCAAGCACCTCTCCCTCAGCACCGAAGATGCGCACCACCTGCACATGAAGTACTACAAGGAGTACGGGCTGGCGATCGAGGGCCTCACGCGGCACCACAAGATCGACCCGCTGGCCTTCAACCGTGAGGTCGACGACGCGCTGCCGCTGGACGAGATCCTGAAGCCCGACCCGCAGCTGCGCCGGCTGCTCGAGGACATCGACCGGAGCCAGGTGCGGCTGTGGCTGCTGACGAACGCCTACGTCACGCACGCCAAGCGCGTGGTCCGGCTGCTCGAGGTGGACGACCTGTTCGAGGGCGTCACCTACTGCGACTACTCGCAGACGCCCCTGGTGTGCAAGCCCAGCCAGGTGATGTACGACAAGGCCGAGCGGGAGGCCGGGGCGTCGAGGTCGGCGGAGTGTTATTTCGTCGGTAGGTGGTCCTTTGACCCCCCAGAAAATCCTGGCGAAATGCCTTGGAGCTGCGAAAATCAAGAACCGGATCTTGCTAATATCGTTGGGATGGGTTGGGTATAGATGATTCGGGCTCGAACTGCAAACACGCGGCGGAGCGCGGCTGGGCGGTGGCCCATCTCGTCGAGCCGGGCGTCCCCGCCCCTCCGGAGCCGGCTTCCCAGTTCCAGATTTCGAGCCTCGAGGAGCTGAGGACTTGTTTCCCGCACTTGTTCAAGTCGCGGTCTTGAGCCTTCTTTTGCGCCTATAGATACATTCCTTCTTCTTTCTCTGACTACTTATAGCATAGACTTTTCTGCGTATAATTACACGGCCCGCGGGTCTTAAAGACGCTATGATGAATACGAGTGACGCTGTTTTGTATAAGATTCGTGGGTGGTGTTTGGCTTTGATAAACAATATAAATATCAGTCAATTCAATTATGGGCAGCTCCAAGTGAAGAGACTATAACAGTCAGTTCCCGTGATCGAACATCCAAGCTGAGCCCACTGCCCCTCCATCTGCCGCAGTCTCTCCACTTTCCCTCTGTATCACACTAAAGCAAGAACACTCAGAACCCGCACAGCCCCGACCCGTTCAGATACTTAACCGGATAGAAGACCTTGGGCGCGCCGCCGACGAAATCCACCGGGATCACGCCGCCCGTCGCCGAGACGTGCCGCTCACACCCGAGCATCTCCATGACCTCTGTGCCCGGGTGATACATCCGCGTCACGTTGACCTGGTAGTCGCCGGTGGCGGCGGTGCTGCCGCGGTTGGAGAACGCCGAGACGATTTGCATCCCCTCCGTGCCCTTCCGGGTGATGTAGGTGGATCCGTCGAGGTAGAGGGTCTCGCTGTGGTTGGTCGGGTAGCCTTGGTCGATGAGGAGGGCGTGGCTGCGCAGGTGGTTGAGGGTCTTCGTTAGGGTTGTGGTCGTCGTTGTTGTGGAATCGTCGGTTGGCAGGGACCAGAGGGGGGAGTTGGCGGTTGCTTGGTTGTGTTCTTGGCCTTGGTATACTGGTTTCCCCCGGAGAGTGGTTAGTATGGAGTGTTGGTGGTTTGGGTGGATGCTGGGCCTGTGGCTGGGTCGGGGCCGGGGCTACTGGGGGCTGGACTTACCCATGGGGATTCCGTCGGTGAGGAGGGTGAATGCTAGGGCGTTTTGAGCGAGCTAGATCATGTTAGATTGGTACATATATTTAGGCTAGATGGCCAGGGGGAGGAGGAAAGGCTTACTGCGGTATCATTCTGGACCGAGACAAACCGCGGGACATCGTGATTCTCGGCGAACGTCGCCAGATGGGTGTAGTTGTCGCACTTCTCGATCACCGTCTGCAGGCTATTCACCAGCCCTGGCATGTCGCCGGCGGGCGCGAAGGCCATCGTGATGGGCTTGTAAACCGCGTAGTTGACCAGGCCTGAGACCGCCTCGTCGTACTGACACATCGTGGTGGCATCGACCGAGTCAACCTCTCCCAGCGTGAAAACCCCGGCGGCGCGGGTGAAGTCACTCAAGAATTCGGGATCCATGTGATTTGTTGCAGCGACCCGGAGCCCGTCGATCGAGTAGTTGCTCACGAGTTCCTGGACCCAAGTCTGGAGTATCGTCGAGACGCGCGCGTCTTCGGTTTTCAGATCGGGCAGCGCGACGGGGTCGCTGGACAGCCAGCAGCTCTGACTTGTGGTTGCGTCGCCGGCCTCGCTGACGTTGCAGTAGGGATGATAGTATCCCTCTTCGTTAAACGGGTGCAGTCGCGAATAGTCGATCCCTGAGGAAGTAGTGGTGGTTTCGGTGTCGACGGCTTGCGCCATGTTGTTGAGCACCACTTCCACCATTAGATACATGTTCCGTCGGTGGAGCTCATCCGCCAGCGCTCGCAGGTCTTCGGATGTCCCAAAGTGCGCGTTCAAGGCGTACAGGTCTTGCGGCCAGTGGCCGTGCCATGCCTCCCCTGCCGACGTGGTCTCGGGGATGTTCTCGACGACTGGAGAGATCTGGATCGCTGTAAACCCTAGATCTTGAATGTAGTCCAGTTTGTCGATGATACCGGCCCATGTACCCCCGCAGTATTTGGTGGGATCGCACGATGTATCCGGTGCGTTGTTGGGGCGCGCGAAGCGGTCGGTCAGGACTTGCTAAGGAGGGGATTAGGATGCTGTGCGCAGTGGAATGAGAAGGCAGAGAGACGTACATAGATTGATCGCTGCGTCCAGTCGTCAGTCGAGGGAACTGCCAGGGCTAGGCTGGCTATGGTGGTTAGAAGTCCACCCGTGTAGATGAGACGGGCCATCTTGCAGAGTCTTGCTGTGAGGATTGACCGGTCTCTGGTGGTGTAGATTTGGAGGAGAATTCCTAGGTATTTAGAAGTCCGGTGGAATTGCTGGATGAATACCAGAACAGGCAGTAACCGGTTGAGATTTGAGAAAGCAGACCTCTGGCTCTCGCCGTAGAATTGCTGGATACAGCATCTTTATATAGTAGTCGAGCCCTTGCTGTTTAGATTTCAAGTACTGTACTAGTACTAAGGCTTCATCTCAATGAGAGCGTGATGTTTGGGTTCGCCCCTCACCTTTTGGCTGAGACAGACGTGCATACATACAGTATGAAAAACAGGCAGCTCAGTCAGTGGGCCGCAAGAATGTGGCATCAGTAAGGGATGGAGAAGAGTGATGCAATGGAGATTAACTAAGTAACTTAAGTTGTTGTTGTTGTTGTTGTTGTCGGCGTCGAGCCCTAATGCGGAGGATGTCTGTGAATGCCTCAGGCTGACAGCACTACCCCTGTTGCGTCCTCAGGCCTCTCAGGCCGGCAACAATCAATCCACTCTCCGTCCCGTCAACAACAATAACGAAGTACTCCGTACTTCACTAAGTTACCATATCCATTCTCTTCCCCCTCTTCCATCCCCTCTCCCCTCCTTTCCCTCCTACTAACCCCCTCCTCCTCCTCCTCCTCCTCCAGTCAAGGCCAATTGTGCGTCTGTTCAGGGTTCCCCCTTTCCCACTCTGACGCATGCTTCAAGATGGCTGAACTAATCCCCGGCCATGTGGTCACTCTCACCGACGGTCGGCAGGCCACCGTTCGGTTTGTGGGCACGACACATTTCGCGCCTGGCGACTGGGTAGGCATTGAGCTCGACGATCCCACGGGGAAGAACGATGGCGCAGTACAAGGCGAGAGGTACTTCGACTGCGAGCCAGGATTTGGCATGTTCATTCGTCCCACTGCCGTCGACGCGATCATAGAACAACCGCCCGCACGGCCACCACCCAAACCCGCCGCTCCGAAAGCTATCACCACCGCTCAACCCACTCCGGCCCGAGGGAGAGCTCAGAGCGGCATTGCCGCCGGCCTCAAGAAGCCCAATGCGATATCAACCGCCAACACCAAACGACACAGTGCCGGTGCGGCAAGCCCGACTTCAGCGCTGCGAGGCGCCGCTCAGCGCTTGTCAACAAAGGTATTGCATGCCCCCGGCGGGGCTGGCTGGACAATCCTTAAGCTAATGGCTGGCGCTCAATATAGTCTCCTACGAAGTCTCCGACAAAGCAACTGTCGGGCTCCGGGCTTTCCTCCAATCGTTCCTCTCTTAGCAGCACTCCGCGACCCGCCGCAGCCACCCCCAAAGCTCGCCCGTCTATTAGTTCCAAGACGTCTATGCCCCCTCCACCGCTCCCATCAGCAATCAATCGCGCCTCCCGCTCCTCGATATCAACACCTGCATCCAAGACAAGAAGACCGAGTTTGCACGCTACCGCATCTGCGCCCACGGGGCTGGCGAAACGCCCCGCAGTGCGACCAACGGGCCCCAGCAGAGCGTCGGAAGATGTGGAGGGTGAAACGAGTCCTCTGTCAGAGGAGCTCGATGCTGAAATACTGGACGTCGAGGGCGACGGGGATCAGGAGGATGCGGGTCTCAGGTCTACTAGGCCTAGTCCGGGCGCCTCACGGACGGTGAGTGGCAGCCAAAAGCAGCCACAGCCTTCGTCGCAGCGTCTTTCGACCGGTGGCGCTGTATCGCGAGAACTTGATGAATTGAAGACCAAGCTTCGAGTAATGGAGAAGAAACGGGCCGACGATCGCGAAAAGCTCAAGAACCTGGAGCAATTGCAGTCGGATCGAGATAAATTCGAGAGCATCATCCAGAAGCTGCAAGCAAAATACCAACCTCAGCAACTGGAGATCAGCGAACTACGCAAGAAATTGAAGGAGTCGGAAGCTCGGTTGGAGGAAGTCGAGCGCCTTCAGGCCGAACATGACTCAATCCTGGAGATGGCTACGTTGGATCGTGAGATGGCGGAAGAAACGTCCGAGATGTTCAAGCACGAATGTGAGACACTACGACTGCGGGTTGAAGAGCTGTCACTGGAGGTCGAGGTCCTCCGGGAAGAAAACGAGGAGCTTGGACAGGCCATGACCCCCGAGGAGAAGTCAAGCCACGGCTGGTTGCAGATGGAAAAAACGAATGAGCGTCTCCGCGAGGCTCTGATCCGCCTTCGTGACATGACTCAGCAGCAGGAGGCCGAGCTGAGAGACCAAGTCAAGGAACTTCAGCAAGACCTTGAAGACTATACGGCTATCAAGTCTCAATATGAATCGACGAAAGAGAAACTCCTTGTGTCTGAGAACAATGTTGAGGATCTGAGGCAGCAGCTTGAAACCGCACTGGGCGCTGAGGAGATGATTGAAGAGCTGGCAGATAAAAACATGCGCTACCAGGAAGAGATCAATGACCTCAAGGCTGCAATCGAAGATCTGGAGGCATTGAAAGAGATTAACGATGAACTCGAATACAACCACATAGAAACAGAGAAACAGCTTCAGGAGGAAATCGATTACCGGGAGAGTCAGTACAATGAACAAAACCGGAGAATCACGCAACAGGACGAGGTCATCGAAGACCTCGAATACACCTTGGTCCGTTTTCGAGAGCTGGTCTCTACCCTGCAAGGCGACTTGGAGGACATGCGCGCATCGCAGCAAATCTCCGAAGCGGAAGCTACCGATCTCACCACGCGCTCTCGTGCCATGATGGACCTCAACCTGAAGCTTCAGGCATCCGTTTCCAAGGCGCAAACCAAGACAATCGATATCGAACTTGGTCGTATGGAGGCGGAGGAAGCCACACAGCACCTGTCAATCCTCAAATTGTATCTCCCAGAGTACTTTGACAGCGAGCGTAATGCTATCCTTGCGCTTCTCCGGTTCAAGCGTGTCAACTTCAAGGCCTCGCTGATGAACAACACTATCCGCGAAAAGGTTGCAGAGCAAGCCTCGGTGTCTACTGCAATCGAAGAGGTATTTGTGGCGAGCGAAGTAATGGAGAAGCTGCAATGGATTGCTGGTCTTTGTGATCGTTTCGTCAACTACATCAACAGCTGTTCAGCCGAGAGTTTTGGCAGCATGGCAGGCGCCCTGTTCGAGCTCGAGCCTGTGGAACGCACGCTGAACTTTTGGATTGAAGGGTTGAAAAAGAACGAAATCAACATGAAGAAGTGCGCAGTTGAGCTACAGCGGTCTATTTCTCTGCTCGCTCATCTTGCTGAGACCCTCCTGCCAACGACTTTGGAAACATTTGCGGACGAACTTTGCATGCGCTCCATGCTGGCTCAGTCTTACATCGATCACAGCGCTTCAACCATCTCGCGGTTGAGGACCCTACTGCAGTCAAAGCTTGCGGCACCGGAAGGAGGCGATGAAGAAAGCGCATTCCTCTACAACAAAATGGAAGGGATTGTGACACAAGCCCGTGGACTGAAAGTCGCTATGGGAAAGATTTACCGCTCTCTGGAAGAACTCCGCTCCAGATCCCTTGCGCTGTCACCCGATGTGGCCGGTCCATTCAAACAAGCTGAAGAAGCAGCCAAAGATCTCTCCGCATTAACCCGACAACTCGGCGAGACAATTGTCGTCATCATCATCGACGAAAGCCGAACCGAGCCTCTGACGCTGGATGAGGCGCTCAAGACGATGTCCCAAATCTCCACACTCTATGCACAGCCATCAGAAACGGGCAGCGAAAGCAGCGACGCAACCTCCCTTATCTCCAACCGGTTGCGCAGCCTGGGCGGGTTCCTCGAGGAGCTCGACTCAATCACATCCGATCTGTCGATCACGTCTGAGTTCGAGAAGCGACCGTCGCCTTGGACCATCCGCGCGGAGGAACTCAAATCCAACAAACAAAACTCCCTCGACGCGGACGAAGAGATCCGACGGCTCAAGAACGAGATCCACGAAGCCTCGACCGCCATGGGCGTCAAGGACAAGACCATCGAGGAGCAGGCCATCAAGGTCGAACTGGTCGAGTCCCGGATGCGCGACGCCAGCAAAAAGGCCTCGATGGTAAAAGACCTGGAGGCGAAGATCGAAGAGCTTCAGTCGGCACACTCGGGTCTGGAATCCACTCTGCACCAACAGCGCGCGGGCATCGAAGCCCTCGAGGCTGAACGTGACGAGCTCAAGACCCGCCTGGACAAGGTCAAGCGCATTTCCGGCACGACAGGCGCCACGACGACCGCAGAAGGCGGCGTGGTCATTGACGCCGGCCTCTCGCTCGCCACAATGCGGGAGAACGAAGCCCTCCGCGCCGAGGTCGAGAGCCTGCAGGCCGCCGTGCGCTACTTCCGCGAGGAGCACCGCCGCGCTAACATCCTCGACCCGTACTCGATCCAACGCTCAGCGGACCTGCACTCCTGGCTCGACGTGCCCCTGACGCAGAGCCACGTCTCCTCCCCACGTCGCGAGAAGATCCAGCACACCGCCTCCGAAAGCCGCGACGTCTTCACGCACCTCCTCAAACTGACCCAGGAATCGCACATCTGCGACCTGAAGTCCACCGCTCCTCCGACAACCAGCACCGCCTCCGACCCGACCAGCGCCACCACCACACGGGTCACGTGGCGCCCCAGCAAGACCAAACTCCGCTACCACGTCCTCCAGCAGCGCGAGAACTTCGAGCAGTGGGCCGACTGGCGCGACGAGATCATCAGCCACGAACGCGAACAGGACCGCGTCGCCACGGCCAAGAAGGAGCGCCTCGCGCGGCGACACCACGCCGCCACGAAGAGCTCGGTCTACGGCGCCGCGGCAGGGTTCTCCCAGGGACTCGGGCATGGCATGATGGGTCGCGCGTGGCAGATCCTGGGAGGCATGGAGCACGATGGCGCGGGCGGTCGCAAAGCCGGTGGTGGGGAGAGAGGTACAGTGGTTGGAGGGCTAGACATGGGCGTGGGGTCTTCGTTCTAGGCGTCATCGTCGCGCCCCTTCGACCTTCGACCCTCCCAAGCTTTTCTTTTTCCATAGGAAAAGAAATTCCGCCTTCTGCCTCCTGGAATAGACAGACAGACAGCGTGACCACGTTCAGTCCCAATCTCATCCCAACCAACCCAGCGGGGGAAGACCGGTGCGCAGCGTCACAGCCCAACATCCCCTTCCCGGATGAACGAGGGGTTCCAGTCTGCGTTGGACTACACTACTCCCTCCGCAACCCGCCACGCGTGTTCGACATCCTGTCTTGCAGGCCAAGTACAGCGACCAACACCCAACACACGCGCAAGGACCTTTCTCATTGGCCTCCCTCAGTCCTTTTGAGTCCCAGATCTCAATCCCATCAAGCTGGGTACGACAAGACCCCTAGCGATCAGTCAATGCGACCGCCTATCGCTTGGATGTACCACACTCCATCACGGTCACTATATGCTGAATCCCCCAGCAAATGGAAAGCCACATACCTATCAGCCACCTAAGAGAGGATTCAGGGTGCAAATGATACACTCACCCAACGCAGCGCACCCCACCCCTCAGCTGAATCTGTATATCGCAACGTATGTACATACGTACCATAATGAACATGACCCTGGCATGCATATAAGTGTGCAGCACACCTGATTCCATGTACCTATCCAACGTGAAAACCTTGTAACATACATATATATACACATAAACGAAGATCTTCTGGTTCTAGGTCTGGTCCCAATGATACTGTCAGGATAATCCGACCCCGTGATTCAGCCCATGAAATACGCGGAACCCCACGCAGGAATTGGTAACCTCAGGTTCTTATCACCTACAAAGGCCATCAATGAATCAGTTCCATGCTCCGGAGATATCACATCCTCAACACTACTAAGTAACCCCTTACTACATAATCAACTCAGTATGAGACCCCAAAAATCGCATTTAAAATTTTCGCATCAATCTATGTACGCAATGATCGTCAAAGAGGATAATAGTTGTCCACCAACCCACGAAACTCATCTAATATGGATGGGAAAATGTCTAATAAAATAGAGATAGAGGATTTGACACAGAAACAACAATGAGAAAATAGGGGAAAAAAGCTTTGTCCGCTCAAATAATACATCCTTGAGGTGCAGGAAAGGAAAGAAAGAGGCAGGAATAAAATATGCCACACATGTGGTAATGTACAAACGCCGATGCCAAGAGATAAATGGAGCGAAGCAACTCAGTGAATGCAAGATAACAACACAGTCGAGAACAAGGTGGGAACATATCATTGGCAACCATGTCAGAGGTGTCAAGAGGGTCAGGTAGACACGAAGGTTCGGATTGAGGGTCAGGCGGGAAGGGAGAAAGCGGCGGCGATGCGCGACGATGATCAATAACAAACAGTATTGACCATGGGAGGGAAATTATCGCCAAGACAGTAGTAAGGGCGTGTTTATCATGAAAGTCGAAGAAAGAATACAGCTATGCGATCTTCACCTAGAGGTGACCGGCGAGAATAGCCTCAGTAGCTGTGAAGAAGTCAGTAACCATAGATTTAACCCACAGAGGAACAAACAAGGCTGCTTACCTGAGTTGATGTAGGGACGCTTAGCATCCAACGCGACACCGAATCGTCGCTCAAGCTCCTGCTTGATGCTCTTCTTCGTAACCGTCATCAGATCCGCCGTGCGGAGGATGTCCCGGATTTCGGCCAGGATAGCATCGTCGCTAGGCAGATGAGACAGGTCTTCCATCTCCATGTCCATGTGACGACTCATAATCTCCGACTGGGCCAAGGACATCCGAGACGAGTAGCGAGGCATGCCGAATTGAGACATGGGCCGCGAGGGCGGGAATCCGTACTCAGATTGCATGGGGTGGTAGGACTTGGTGGCATAAGATATGCCAGAGACCTCGGAACGATCGTCTCGAGAAGTTTGTGCCTCCCACAGTTCGGCCTGGTACTCGTCCCACGTCTTCTTCGGAATGGAAGCCGGATCAAACTTGCCCTCATCTGAGATGACGACTTTGCGACCCTTTTCTCCAGTGATAACACGGGTGTTACCCCAGGAAAAGTCATCCATGTGCCAGAAAGAGTACAGAGGCAGAGCCAGGGAAGAGATCGGCAGACCCAGCAGGTAGATAAGCATCCATCCGAGCATTTCCCACTTGCGACGGAAGATGAAGATGAGTGCCTGGAGACCGTAGATGGCAGCGAGTAGAACAAAAGTGGTCCAAGGAATGGTGGAAGTATCGGTGACGAGGTAATAAATCAGATACGCGATATAAGCCAGGGTAACAGGCTGGATAACGGTACTGAGTAAGTCGACGAAGACAATAAAACGCATACTAAAACAGCAGAAACCACAGAGCTGCTGCAGAGGTACCAGCTCCATCAGGTTGTGGACGGTGGAGTTAATCCAACGACGACGCTGCGACAGGAACACAGCGAAGCTCTCAGGCGCGATAGTCCAGGCCTTGGCAGCGATGATATACTTGGTCTTGAATTTGGGATGGAACTTCATCAAGAGTGTGGTGAGATAACGATCTTCACCAAGATGCAGCAAGTTCTTCATGTGGAGTGTATCGACGCGAATCTCGGAGTAGGCCTCAATAACCTCTTTGCTGACGAACAGAGGCTTCCCACTCTCTGCAGAGCGAATGCGGTACATTGTGAAACAACCTGGCAGACAAGTGACTGATCCGAACAGACTCTCAAAGGCCTTGATCATGTTGTGTGAGATGTAGTATTCGTAGACTTGCATCATGGTGATGGCCGAGTGTTTGGCGTTAGACAAAGCAGTTTCACCGCAAAGACCGATGATTTGAGTATCAGCCAACAGTGTAGAGACGAAGCGCGTTGCTGCATCCGGAGCGACGACGGTATCGGCATCGACCTGTAAGATAAATTCATAGAAGGTAGGGTTCACACCGATGATATTGCGGATTTGGTGATACATTTCCAGCTCCATCGGGCTCATGGCCATGTTGTAGTGTACGCGGTTCAAGAATCGCATGAGTACCATCTGAGAATCACGCTTTCCACGGTTACCAGGGCGAGCCACCTCGGAAGGCTTTCCAACCTTGACAACGACCAGGAAGGGGACAATGTGGCCTTGAACCTCGTAGAGACCCGAATAGATCTTGCCCATATTGTGCTGCTTCTGTCCTTCGCCCAAACTTTCAAAACTGAGAGGCTCGGGATCGACGGATTCTGGAACTCCTAGGATATCCAAGACAATCCTTGGGGTAGGGCGATCGTTACCTTGTCCGATGATCATACCATCGCAGATGACAACAAGGAGTTTCCGCTTGTCATCATAACGCATGCGAGCCATGGAATCAATGGCACGGCGCAGCGAGTCTTCGTCTTCCGTGTAGGCTGGAACTTGACAGATGATGAATTTATCAAGATTCTCCGGGAGATTCTTCCTTGTGAACTGCAGGGCAGCCAGGAACTTGAAAACCACGACCGAAACAATGAAGATGGAGATTGCCAGAATGAAGTACCGTGCAAACAGACATTGAGCCGAGTTACGTGTATCGACATGACCCACGAAAAAGAGGTTGTCCAAGCACAGCTGCATACGCTGGCGCATAACGTCGGTAATTTTCAGGTTCTCCCAATACTTTGTCAAATCTCGACCTGGAAGATCCTGGAAGAGAGAAACGACCAAAGTACTCATGAAATCGCGGTTCACATCGGAAGGGACCGTCTTGCCCTCTGGGGCTTCCACTCTCCGACCTCCCGCAACGTACGTCGTCAAATCATAGACCTTGCCGTTGATACTTCCGATGTACTGTGACTTTTCACCAAGGGTCTTGATGTACTCTGGTGTGTAACCGACCCAACCTTTGAAATAATTCGATCTGAGTGAAATCATTTGCTCCTGGAACCAATCCGGTCGGTAGTCGTTGGTGAAATAGCGGAAGTCGTGATACTGCATGTTGGTATCGGTGGAACTGACAGTGGTGGCAGAGCCTGAGACGTTGGTCGCTGAGTAGTCCAAAAGCACTGTAGGGTCCACTTCTCCTGTCGTGCCAGGACACAAAGCCGACACCTGCACGGGGAACAGACCGGTGGCATCCGTGCCTGCGTATTTCTTGAGAGCCGTTTCGGGCACGATATCGGGGTAGTGCGCGGGCATGAACTTGCCCAAATTGAAAACCACACCCCGAACTGCGACGAAAGAGCTGTGTCCATCTTTGCCATTGTGCGAAGACAGCTCAGCGGACGAGTAAACATGCTGTGTGGGACAAATCAAGGACGGAAAGACGACAATGAAGAAGATGGCGACGAGACAGCAGAACCAGATAATCAGGTTGATCGCAAGCTTTTCACGCCAGGCAATTCGCACATCCTTGCGCTTCATACGACCGAGGAGTTTGATGGTGAAGTCAGGGATGTACCACGTTAGCAGATACACTAGGAACATCCACCTTTTGCGACTACCAGACACAGGTATATCTTCAATCTCCTCCATGTTTTTGTCGTTGCCCTTTTCCAGCATCTGCTCACGGGTATCCAGATTCCGGAACATGTCCCCGGAGTTGAAGGCAGAAGCACCAGCCTCGGAACGTCCATCGAGATCACGACTACCAAAATACCCTTGCTTCCCTTCCTCGCCGTAAATAAAACCACCTGGCGACTGGTCCGCTGGACCAAGGAGTCGGACTTTGGAATCATGGTAGTTCGCGGTCTGCGGGTGAAGCAGACCGTCCCCACCTTCGTCGGAGCCTTCACCCGCAGCGTAGACGGGGACCACGCGCTCGCCAACCTTTGCAAGGTCCGCCCAGCAACGTTCACTAAGGAAGACACCTGTGCTGCCGACCCGGGCTTCATTCCCCGGCCATCGCTTCTCATCAAGGACAACCTCAGCCTTCTCCTTGTCACTCCCCACCACAACATTCCCAATCTCAGCCAAACCCAGGAACTCAGCGAATGGAAGAAAGACACTGAAGTCTGCGTTCCTCAGTCGCTGGCTGATTTCTGTGATGCCGAATGTCTGCACCTGCGCGCGAACACATTTGCTGTCGAATTGATTGGCGATACGTCGATCATTGGGCTTCAGACAGAAAACGAAGTAAGGGTTCAGGTTGGGGGAGCTCAGACATTTATTGACGATGTCCAACGAAGAGAGGAACTGTCCGGCAGCACCCTGAATGCCACTGGCGATCATGGCACTCTTGCGTCTTCCGGAACTCCTCGACGTACTGTCAGCCTGGCTCTCAATCTCATCCCTGTCCTCGATAGGCGGCGGTGCATCGAACATGGGACGGGAAGACGGGCCATTTTTACGCCTGGCCATGCTGGGCATGCGCAGCGGCTTCGAGCTAACTTGCGCTTGTACAATGGCAGTCTTCTCTTGGGGATGCGTAACCGTGTGTAGAGCCTCCTGGCCAAACAGATCTCTCACAAAGTCGCTGTTCGTGGACTTCATGAGGTTCATCAAATCTCCGGAGATCATGTCACCGTTCTCCTCCAGAAGACCATGAACAGGGTATTCGACTTCGCCAGCAAAGTGCTTCACCGTGAACGAAGTGCGTGCATGCTGTGAGACCACACCCGTGGCTTGGCCAGCGGAACCCACGGTGATGGCGGGGTTCTTGTTTTCAAAACGTCTTCTGACCGATTCGAGGAATTGGGAGTCTGTCCTTCCACGCCTAGTCTGGTCATCGAGGATACTCAACAAACCGTTGGCGGGTTTCAACAGCCCTCGCACGGTATCAACGTTATCGAAATAGCTCGTCGCTGGCACGGAGACCTCTTCCCGTTCCAACATATCGGCCTTCCGGTCGAAGAAAGATTGCAAGCAGAAATTGTACAGGGACTCCGTCGCCGCATTGCTCAGTAGCTGGTCCAACGTGGAGCCGGTTGCGCTGACTTGAGAGAAACCAGGAAAGTCGACGACCGAGACGGTATTAGCCACACTGTCCTCGGCGGCACAAATCTTCTGGTTAATGGTCTCAATCACATATGCCACCAGAAGAGAGTACAGGGTTCTGGCCAAATCATCCGCATTCTGCCGTGCCCCCTTGGGATCCAACATCACCGTGACGCGCTCCCGACGGATGGTCTTAGTCTTGTAGCCAAAACTGGTCTCGAGTTGTTCCACACCCAAGCCCAGGAATGCCGCAATGATGGACAAAACATCCTTGTTTCTGACGACGGTGACCTTCTCGCCACCCTCGTGAGAGTATCCGCCAGATTCTTCCGCGCCGGTCGTCGTGGCCTGCCCGCTCACGAAATCAAGCTGTCCCAGATGAAGGATCGTCGCCAACATCTGACACAGTTCCGCGATTTCACTGCGGGGGAACTCCAATTTCCTCAATGCAGTCTTGAAGTGCTGGAATCCATCGGCGTCGTTGATGCCCACCTTGAGCTGGGTGGGATGACCCAGATATCTCCATCGCTTGTGACCGATTGAGGCGGAAGATAGCTTGCCGGCCGCAGTCGAGACGTGGATCGAATTGTCAAACCCTAGATGGGTCTTCTCGGCAGCACTCGTTCCAGCAAGGAGATAGTAAAGGACGTGAAAGCTTCGTTCGCCCGTAGGAACGGAAGCAATGCGACTGCGCTCAAGTCTGTGGTCGATAATCTTACCACCGATTAGGGTGGGGTTCACTGATGAGGAACCATCGTACTGGAGTTCCAAGAAAAGCCCAGCTTTGGATGCAGTCGGCGTAGTCAGGGACTTGGTTGTCGTGAGGGTGTCGAAAACGAAAGCAGCGTATGATAGCTTCGAGGATAGAGGGGTGGAGGAGAACGAGAGGAAGGCCGAAACGATGTGAGAACGAAGGGTGGTCTTTCCGGAGCCACTCTCGCCACTGCGTGATCTAGTCAGCTTTCGTCCCAACTGTGACGACCACTAGTGGGCTTACAGGAAAACAATGGCTTGGTTCTCTCCCCGTGCACCGAGACGAGTGAATGCCCGCCTGGCAAGGTCCTCCGCCTCTCCCATAGCACTGCCCTCTTTGTCGCCATCGGGACCTTTGGCAGACGATGTATATGTGTTGAGACTAATCAAAGCTTGCGACGACAAGCGAGCGGTTGGTAGCCCGACATGGAAGCTATAGTGTCTCACCGTTAGCGACTTGCATTTCTTTGAGGAGCTCACACGGGCTTGGTTACCGGCTGGCCAAGTGTGCAGTCAGATGTGTGTCAGACTGCAGATGTGAAGGTAACGAGGGTAGTGAGGACTGTGCATGAGACGGGGCGTGTCCCGCGGTGGTATGTGCAACCATGTTCACGGTGTTTATGGCCTCAAGACCCAGGTCGTGGGTCAGGCCGACGGATGCTGAAGCTGATCAGAAAAGCGACCTCGAAGGTATCTTAGAGGTGAGAGCAGTTGGATCAATGTCGAATTTAGTGGAATCCTTTCTATGCTCGGCCGAAGTAGCACGCGTGTTGTTATTCCGGGCTCAGGAATGTTGCGATTACCTCGAATGGACAATGCTTGATAGTCAGTCAAAATAAGATAGGTACATTTCCTGCACTGATCATAGCAATTTGCAGGGAAGGATAAATTGAATGATGCCTCAAAGCTTTAAGGTCGAGAGAAGCGACTGGAGCAGCCCGCAGACTTCGGGGGGTAGATGGGAGGGGGGCGCAAGTTGGTTCGAAGCGATTGTAAATGGCGGGCGCCAAGTGAGATGAAGCGAACGTCGATGAGGGGGGGGGGGGGAAATGGGAAGGAGATTAAGATTAGGATTATCAGATGCCAAACACAATCACAACAACCACAAAAACGGCGAAGGAGCAACAGCGAGATGGAAAAATCGAAGGAGAAAGAGGAAGAAGCAACACCAGTTAACAACGGGTAGCTTTTTCTGGGGACGGACGGACAGACAGACAGACAAGACAAGACAAGAACAAACGCATCGGACAATGTTGATAAAGGGAATCCACTCCTGGTCCAGTCTGGTAAGTATATTACCGTATGGGGTAAGTCCGTATGGATGGATCTTTTTATGGGCAGCGGGGGGAAAAAGGGAAGAAAAGAAACAGAGAGAAAAAAAGAGGGGACTTTAATTTTGAAAGTTACTAGTAAAATGGTAAAGGGCCAAGGGTTACGTATTTTTCATTCACCAATCCTCACAGTTCTTCTTTTATCTTCACTAATTGCCGGGCAACCTGCTCTTACGGTAGTAGTCTACGGAGTACAGTACAGTACATATTAGCAGCAGCCTTTTCTTCGGCCATTACGAGGACTAGAGCATAAAATCCCATCCTATGCTGCGAGGGGAGAATTATTTTTGGAGGCTGCATCCTGCACCTGACAGCCGAGGGCCCGCGGATCCGAATCCAGGTGGACTGGGTGGTGGAGGGCTGTACAGAAACCGGTTGGGCGAAGCTTCCCTGGGAATGGAATGGTCTGGTCTCTCTGGCTCAGGCTCGACTGGCTGACTGGCTGACTTCTGGTTAGGGTCGGGGGGGCCGGGCCCTGAGGTACCAATCGTTTCGATTTCAATCAATAAACACTTGTCCGTCCATCATTACCATTGGTCTTGTCTTTTTGTTTTCCCGCGAGGTCTCAGATAGAATACCTCTGACCTCTTCGCTCTGCTGCTCTCCTGCCCGCCCCCCTTCGAGTCAGAATTAGAATCATCAGCTGAGAATGTGAGACGAGAGCTGCCCGTCCAACGCTGGCGCAACAGAAACAATCCCATGTCAATCATTCAGCGCCACCCGCGCAGGGTCGAAAAGGGGGGAGGGGAGGGGGGGCTCCAACTTCCCTGACTGATGCAGTCGCCAGTCAGGGCGGGCTCGGCGACGCGCGGATTCTTCCACGCATCGTATACGATGTGGACGGTGGACGGTGAACGGGGTGGTAGAGACAGTGGGCGCAATAAACCCATGCGGCATGCAGAGAGCAGACGTGCAGTCATGATGATGATGGAGACTCGGGAGGCGGACAGGATCTGATATGGAGATCCTCCAGAAAGAGAGACATTTGAGATCATAAGTAGTCAGACTCGATCCAGTCTGACGGTGATGCCAAGTTTGGAGCACCACATTTGGTGCCGTCTGTGGTTGGTGATCAGGATCATCCGGGAGACCCTGAGCAGTTTAGCAGTGCAATCCAACCCAAAAGGAAGAATTCGGGTGGAGTGGAGCGATCATTCGATCTTATTGCCCAATCCAGCCAAGCGTGAAACTAGGGGTGTTTTTGTGACCAACAGCATTGACGAGAAAAAAAAGTGGGAATCTTTTTTTCTTCTTCTCTTTTGCCCGGACCCACGAAGTTGGGGGAAAGGGAAGCCCCCTTTCGTTTCTTGTTTTTTTTCTTCCCTCTCCAACAAAGAGAGACAGGGTTCATTAGTCAGCCGTGCACCCTTTCCTCCCTCTTTTGCCCCCCCTCTTTGTAGAGCGTCTGTACGGAGTACCCCGACGACACTAACTTCTGCAGCAGTAATCTACAGCAATTTATTGATATTGATGGGCAGGAGGCAAATCATGCGAGGTGGCCAGCAAAGCGACATTGATATTACCGTAGTACCCCGTATCATTACAGCATCCGAGTCAGGCTTAACTTTCTTACACGTATCACCATGGTTTGGACACCTTGCCCGTGTAGTAGTCAGGCTGAGAGGTGTGGGGTGGGTATCTTGCAGTCTGGTAACACACGAACAGACTCAGCACAGCATTTAGTGAGCAGGCATGGATGGAAGTGTCCTGCAATGACAAAAATAAAAATCTATCCCCGGCCGCAGCCAATCCGGGATGAACTGGATGCAAGACTGTCTCTGAACAGCATATGACAGCTACCCCTCCATGCTGGAAGGAAATCCAGAAATAGCAGAGCGGCGAGACTGCTAGTCAAAGGGTGGCAAGACAAGGGCAGCCACCTTAATTGGCCTCCTGGCTGAGACAACAACAGTTGTTGTTGAAGAGGTGTGAGACAACAACTCAGTTTTGTTGCCAATTATAGGGTTACCCTCCAGGGTCTAAAGCCATGGATCAATTCTACTCCGCCTCACCGATTGGCTGCAGCCAAAGTACGTTAAGCACGCCACATGACATTGGTCGAGCCTCGCTTGAAGAAAACTCGGAAAAGATAGAGGAAGTGAAAGAGATAGAATACACACACATTGCACCTAGTTTTTTATTATCTCCCGGTGAAGAGAGCGATGGAGTCAGAGACACAATTAGGGGAGAAGGGGGGGGGCAAGGGAGGTCACTAGTCGACTGCCCATTTGACCACCATTCTACCACCTGAGTAAGGTCTCCTGGCCCGAATACGGAGACTACGTTGACTACCCATGGATAGTTCTGCTGCTTAGTATCTGTCTCCTGCACTTGACCGCTTAAAGTTAGCTAGTTTGAGTGGCTAGTAACTGAGTACCTGATAGTCTCTCCCGGTTATTGCAAAAATACTTCTATCATTCCATGACAACGTTGAAACCCAAACTGCGCCCGCAGGTTGGCGGGTATCTGCTGGAAGCTAGTGGGCAACTGGTAAACTGGTAATGTGCAGACAGGGGCCGTACTAGTTTCGGCGGTAAGCGGTAATCCGTAATCCGTAATCGGTAATCTACCCCCAAAGTCCCAGTAATTTTCAGCCCGCTCCGACCCATACTTACCCATACCTGACTATCCCGATCGAGCTAAGCTCTGACTGGTAACTGAGAGTAGAGAGTATTGGTGGTAGTATTTGGTACAAACAACATTCGATCAATTCGCTCCTCTGCTGCTGCTGCTGCTGCTGCTGCTGCTTTCTTTCCTGCGCTGTTGCTGTGCATCTCCATCTTCATCTTGGCTTTTGTTCCCTCCATTGCTGCTTGTCCTGCATTGTTTAATTCCTTTTTTCTGCGGTTCTTCATCTCTGTCGCTATCCTATCTCCTCATCTCCCTCTAGTCTTTCGCTTTCTCGAGCTATTCCCCCCCCTCTCGAGCAATCTAATCTTAATCGATCGATCCTCCAACATTCGCTACCGACTACCGTCCCTGACACTCGCTCAGAAGACATTCACCTGATACATACTCGAGACTTGATAGACTATTTTGGTCGGGCTTTTCGATATTCACACAACGAAACACGGTTTTATTCTAACCAACAAGCTACAGCCATACAACCACCAAGACATGCTCATGGCTTGATCGCCCGCCTTCGAATCAGCCAACCCAAGACCCATGCTATAACCAGCCACCCAGCCTATACATTTATTTATTGGACACTGGATCGGGCTTCTTGGGCAACTTCTTTATTGCAAAGTATTTTGACTTGACTGTTGTCAGCTGCTGTGAACAGGAACAACAACCATGTCCACTCGCTTTTCCGTTTACTCGGGCCATTCCGCTGGCCTGTCGACCTCGCGGCCAGGTGCACACTCGCCGAGCCCTGTAACAACAACCACACTTCTGAATGCGCTGCATGCCTACTACAACTCGGCTCAAGCATATCAACTCGACGCAGCAACCAGCCTGGTGGTAAATACCTGGGTTACTGCCTCGCGGGCCACCTCAAACGGTCAGGATGGAGGCACGATAGACCGTGAGATCGCGCTCCGGGCCTGGGAGCATGCGCGCCGACGAGCGGAGGACGGCTGCATTGTGCTCTGGTATGCAAGATCCTGCTGTGCACAAATTTTCTCAGTCTACTAACCTGCAACAGCTCCGCACACCAGTCGACCCCTTCCATATTGGAGCCATTCCTGGCAGCCCTGCCACTTTCGACCCCGAGTGTCACCTTCACCGCGCTGACAGCTCTTCGACCCTTCGTCTCCGCCGTCACGTCCTTCAACCCTTCTTATTCCCTTTACTCTGCTCTTGCTACTCGCTACTCCTTTAATCTGAAAGGGGACATTGTAGGATTGACGTTGTCGCTGTCAACATCCGGGATCAATGTACGCAAGGGACTTCTTGACATTGCCCCGGAGCCGGGCTTTCGTGCGTTTGACGTCTTCTACTACCTCCTAGCCTCCGTGTCCACCCCCGCCGAGCGCGAATTCCTAAACCTGAAGGACGCATCGGAGTATTCTCTGCTAAACAAGTCCGGAACCTACACCCCACCCTCCTATATCCCGACCGCGGACGATGCCGCTGCAGCAGAGGATTTCCGGGCCGCGCTCAAGGCCATCGGCATCAAGGGAGCCTCTTTGCGTGGCCTACTGGCTACACTGGCCGGATTGCTGAAGTTGGGCGATGCGGCCGGGTTGCTCGTCGATCAGGAGGTCCTAGAGGAGGCATGTGAGGAGGTCGGCGGCCTCCTAGGGATCGACCCGGAAATTCTAGCCCGCAAGTGCTCGACCGATGAACGGGAGGTGCTTATTGCTGGAATATACGAAGCCCTCGTCGATTGGGTCATTGGCAAAGCGAACGAGGCCATTTCGAGCGAGCTCCAAGCGATGCTGGAAAGTAGCCCCAGTATGAGCGGTGGTTCCGGCCCTGGAGGTCAATGGACTGACGACGATACTGTTGCCATCACGGTGGTGGACATTCCTCGACCCGCCCTGGGCAAAGCATTGGCAATGAGAGAAGTCTTCGACGATAGCATTGGTATCAATGCGGAAATGAAGGAGGACGGCGTCAGCGTTCCTGCGGTTGGACATGCAGTTTCCAACGACGTGAACGCGGCAGTCGCACAGGTCGAGCCCGACCTTGGCATTACCACCGGAAATGCCTGGCGAGAACGTGAATACGAAATCGCGCGGCGACAGGAGGTACTCGAGAAAGTCGGCTTCGAGGTGGAAGGGGACTCTTTCCTCCGACGCCTTATACTGCCTGTCGAGAGTGAAGGTATCACGGTTGGCCAAAAGGGCCGCTTCGATCTCATCAACACTCTGGGAAGTAGCAGAGTGTGGCATCACATCTCTTTGCACCCAACGGACGAGCTTCCCCAGAATCTCAACCCCACCCTTCCGGCTGCCGGCTGGTCGGCGGCGGCAGTCTCCCGTCAATTGCGCGAATGGCGGTTTGCTGAATGGGCCAACAGACGACTCAAACATCTCGATTTCACCGCGGATTTCGATGTGGACGAGTTCGTGAGCCGTTACCACCGACTTGGCTGCGCCGACGGCAGAGAGGGGGTTGAAAGCTGGTTGATGGAAAGAGGATGGACCAATGGCGACGCGTTCGTCGGTCACCAGCGTATCTGGATGCGAGAGAGCGCTTGGTGGGAGGCTGAAACGATGCTCGATCTCAAACCGGACGAGTCGCCGCCAGTGAACCCATTTATCTACGGCAGCACTATGCTTGATCCGCATTACGCCGGAACTCCCGTCGTAGAATCGACTAGCCTTCTTGGAAGCCGGGATGACCTGCTTCAAAGACAAAGTACTCTCGTGCCCAGTGTTCATGGCGGCCTGGCCAAGTCTATTGCGCCCAGTGTCCCCAACACTCTTCACATGAGTGGAGGCGACTACGGCCTCGGCAGCAAAGGTGATACGAGGAAATGGGACGAGGATTATGCCCGGTACGAAGGCGAGCTTGATCCGGAGTTTGGCGACGGCAAGCACATCGAGAAGAAGCCCATCACCAAGGTGCGACGTGCCTGGGTCGCCTTTGTGTGGGCGTTGACCTTTTGGATCCCCTCTTTCGCCCTCCGCTGGTTTGGTCGCATGAAACGTCCTGACGTCCGAATGGCCTGGAGAGAGAAGTTCGTTCTCGTTTTCCTAATTTTGCTGTTCAACGGCATTGTCTGCTTCTATATCATCGCTTTCGGCGACCTTCTGTGTCCGAACAAGAACAAAGTCTGGAACGAAAAGGAGCTCAGTTGGCATGTAGGCAACAATGACTTCTACGTCAGTGTCCATGGAAACGTATACGACATCAGCAAGTTCTGGCGTAAACAGCACAGTGACAGCAGTATCGAGACGACCACCACCAACATGAAGCCTTTCGCCGGAGAGATCCTGGATCCGTACTTCCCTCCTCCGCTGACTCGTTTCTGCGGTCACTTTGTCACGGAACAGTCAATTCAAATGCAATACAACGACACCAGCGCCATTGAATACCCCAATGCGGAACACAAGTGCGGTCCCTATAACACTCCAAGCACGACCACGGCGCTACACAACATCACTTGGTACGAGGATATCTTCCTGCCCAAGATGAAAGGGTACTACAAGGGGCCTCTTGTTTGGACCAGGAAGAAGGTCAAGGAGGAGGCTGACTCAAGTTCGCGGTACTGGGTCATTGTCAATGAGAAGATTTATGATCTGACGGATTATTTCTACACGGCGGATTTGTTCGATGACAGCAACGGTTATGACTATCTTCCTAGCAGCGTGACCACGCTTTTCAAGAACTATGCCGGTGAAGACGTCACGTCGAAGTGGGGAAACAGCACGGATTTCCGCAATGCCCAGACATGTCTAGACTACGTTTTCTACAAGGGCAAAGTCGACTTCCGCAACAGCCCGAGGTGTACGGTCAACAACTGGATCTTGCTGGCATTCACGGTGATGATCTGTGCTGTGATTGTTGTCAAGTTCCTTGCCGCTCTGCAGTTCGGTACCAAGCGTCGGCCTGCTCCGCAAGACAAGTTCGTTATCTGCATGGTCCCTGCGTACACTGAGGGTGAGGATGCGCTGCGCCAAGGTCTGGACTCGCTTACTGCCCTCGAATATGATAACAAGCGGAAGCTCATTTTCGTGATCTGTGACGGTATGATTGTCGGTGGTGGTAATGACCGGCCAACTCCCAAGATCGTGCTGGATATCCTTGGCGTGGATCCCAAGATCGATCCTCCTGCGTTACCCTGCAAGGCCATCGGACAAGGAAACGAGCAACTGAACTACGGAAAGGTATACTCTGGTCTCTACGAATATGAAGGCAATGTGGTTCCGTACATCGTTGTGGTGAAGGTCGGTAAGGAGTCGGAGCAGAGCAAGCCCAAGCCTGGAAACCGTGGCAAGCGTGACTCGCAGATTCTCTTGATGCAGTTCCTGAACCGCGTTCACCATCGCTCCCCCATGACGCCGCTTGAGCTTGAGATCTTCCATCAGATCAATAACGTGATTGGCGTTGACCCCGAGCTGTACGAATACTGCCTGATGGTGGACGCCGATACTAGTGTTCGGGAAGATTCCCTGAATCGACTTGTCGCTGCATGTGCCAATGATGCGCGGATTGCCGGTATTTGTGGCGAGACCAGTCTTCAGAACGAGGAGCGGAGTTGGTGGACGATGATTCAGGTCTACGAGTACTATATTTCTCATCATTTGGCGAAGGCATTCGAATCGCTGTTCGGCACCGTCACCTGTCTTCCGGGATGGTAAGTTCGCTGATACGAGAGTGTTTGGTGCGTTACTAACAGGCTTTAGTTTCTGCATGTATCGCTTGCGCACCGCCGACAAGGGTCGCCCCCTCATCATCTCCGATCAGGTCATCGTCGAATATGCTGACCCTGAAGTGGACACCCTTCACAAGAAGAACCTTTTGTCTCTGGGAGAGGATCGTTTCCTGACCACGCTCATGACGAAGCATTTCCCTCACATGTCCTACAAGTTCATCCCCGATGCCTACGCCAGTACGGCCGCGCCCGAAACATGGTCCGTCCTGCTTTCGCAGAGACGTCGTTGGATCAACTCCACCATCCACAACCTGGTTGAGGTTGCGGCCTTGAAGGATATGTGTGGCTTCTGTTTGTTCAGCATGCGGTTCGTCGTCCTGGTTGATCTTATCGGAACGCTCATTCTTCCGGCTACGTGTGTCTACCTGGGATACCTCTTGTATCTGGTTGGCAGTGGCACGGGCCAGTTCCCGATCATCTCGATCATTATCTTGGCGGGTGTGTACGGTCTGCAGGCGATTATCTTCCTTCTCAAGCGCCAGTGGCAACACATTGGATGGATGATCATCTATCTGTGTGCGTACCCGGTCTACAACTTCGTTCTGCCGCTGTACTCTTTCTGGAAACAGGATGATTTCAGTTGGGGTAACACGCGTGTCGTTATCGGTGAGAAGGGCGACAAGAAGGTCGTGGCGGTGGAGGAAGACAAATTCGACCCGCGCAGCATTCCGCTGCAGCGCTGGGACGACTATGCGCTGGCCAACAACCTTCCCGGCCGTCGCGGTGACTTTGGCATGAGCCAGGAGAAGCTGTACTCAGGACGTTTTGGCGACGAGATGGCGATGGAGATGGACGACATGCACTCGCAGTATTCGTCGGTCAAGCCTGCGTCGACGATCCTGACGGGCTTCCCCGGGCAGGGCCGCCACAGCAGCCCTTACATGCCGCCCCAGTCGCCGGCCCCTTTCCTCAACACGCCGGGCAACCGCCAATCGCATCTGTCTAGTTTCACGAGGTACACGGACAACCCTCACCAGAGCAGCCACAACGTGTCGCGCCACATGTCGATGGGCAACTTGAGCCAGTTCCAGGACAGCGGCATGGCGACGAACCGCCACAGTGTGGGATTGATGCAGAGCACGGAGAACCTGCTCGGCGGGCCGCGACCCAACTCGCGCAGTCCGGTGGGGGGTTACTCCTCTCGACCGGTGAGCGCGTTCGATTTCCGCGGGGGCAGCGGGCCGGACGAGGCGTCGATCACGGAAGCGATCCGCAGCTGCTTGGCCGAAGTGGATTTGGACACGGTGACGAAAAAGCAGGGTGAGTGATTGCCTAGGTGCCTAAAGGTCGTTTCGACTACTAACGTGGACAGTGCGCGCATTGGTTGAGCAACGATTGCAAACGACGTTGATGGGCGACAAACGGGCCTTCCTGGACAAACAGATTGACCACGAGCTGGCCAATATGTAGTGAGCCGTCGGGGTCTGGTTCAGTCGCGGGTTACTTGTATTTTTGCCATTTGCTTCAACACATACATAGTATTTTCGGGCATGCACGGTGTTGGCGTGATTATTATAGCGATTAATGGATGATTGGTGCATACCGGTTGACAACGTAGGACATGTTGATGCATGCGTGGAGGTAGTGTACCTGCATTGCGTCTGCATCGATACTGCATAGATATAATAGACCAACCGGCCACATCCCGCAAACATCAATCGTGCAATCGATTGACACAAGTCCAAGCAAACCAAACCACGCCCAGAATAAGAATCACCACCACCGAAACCACCCACTCCTCCGCTTCCCCTGACTCTCTTCGTCATCACCATTATCGCCCTCATCATCCTCCTCCCCCTCTCCAGTTCTAGTATCATTTCTCCTCACCTTCCCATTCCCAACCCCATTCCCAGCCCCATTCACAAGCCTAGGTTCCCCCTCATCCTGATCCCCCTCCCCAACCCCATCCCCATGATAAAGATCACCCCCCTCCCTATCCCCATATCCCCGCTGATGATGATGATTCCGCGGACCCTCAACCAACCGCAGCGTCTCCTCCACCACCAACAGCTCCCGCTCAATCACCTCCGCCCAGTTCTGCACGTCGCCGATCTCCTTCAGGGCGTCGCGCGCCGCGTCCGCCGTCTTGGTGAGCTGGGCGTTCTGCGCGGCCAGCGCGGCCGTCGCCCCCGCCAGCGCGTGCTCCTGGCGCTCGAGGGCGGATGCGTTATCGTGCAGGATCCGGGCGCGCTCGCGCAGCTGCGTCTCGTGCGTTTGGGCTGTGCTGCGCAGCGTGGCGGTGAATGCGGTGCGGGCTTCTGTTGCTTCTGTTGTTGTTGTTGTTGTTGAGGGGCGGGGCTGGGGGGGTTGGGGGGTTTGGGGGGAGGTGCTGGTGGGAGGGGGGTCTGCGGGTGCGGGTGCGGGTGCGGGTGCGGGGGTTGTATTTGTGGTGGTCAATGTGGCTGTGGGGTGGTCGGGCATTTTGGGTTTGTCTGTTCTGTGGAGGTAACTTAGGGTGAGGATGGTCTGTAGTGTGGTTGGTAGTGTGGTTGGCTTTGATGATGTTGTAAGGGAGAGGAGATGGGAGGTTGAATATAGCGTAGCGCTGCTGGGGAGGAGGTATGGGGGTATATCCTTGTCAGATGCATGTGATTTATAACTTACTACTCGAGGTAGGGTGCTCCGGTGTAGGTACTGTACAGTTGTACTCATCGTTCTTCAGCTTAACATATGTTGTCAACTGAGGACTATACTGCTTTGCTATACTGCTTGCATATAACCACTCGGGTAGTTCCACCGGATTGCTTGTTTTTGGGGTCATGAATTCATGATTCGAACCATGGACAGGAACCACCCGCCCCGCGCCGCCCCGCCTGCCTTCCTTGCCTTTACCTTCTCTATCTACATTCTACGGAGTACACAGCAGGCACCCATCCCCATCCCCATCCCCATCCCCATCCACCGAGTCTCCACGATATCCTGCACCTGCACCTCGATCGTTGTATCAAAAACCCACAGGATTCCTAGCGCCGGTTTTCAGCCCCCAATCCACTTTCTAGTCTATACCTAGACTACTCCGTAAGGTAGTTCCCATGGCCAGAGATATCGGAAGTACCCGGCCTTAAGCATAAACTCCGACCACCAACCACCCCATACACAACCGTATACTTATACACCCCTCCCTCCTCTCCCCTCCCCCCTTATCCCCCCTTAT